CCCCGGCCCGGCCGCGCTGCCCGGATGCTGCAGCGCTACCTCGGCCTCGCCACCCCTCGCCGCACAGGCGCCGCCTTCAGGCCCCTCAATCCCGACCCCCGCGGGTGCAAGGCTGCGCCCAAGTCCCTTGGCAGCCCCTAGGCTGGTGGGCCGTAGCCTTTTCCTCCTGCTTCGTGATTCTTATTCATTATTCTTCTGGTTAGTTGATATCAATCATGAATAACTAAGACAGCCTAGAAGCCCCTGCTAGGAGAGGAGAGCCCTCATCTCAGCGCCACCCAAGATGCTGTCAGCCCTGGCACCACACAGACCTAACACCCTCCCCTGCCAGGGGAAGCGGCAGAGCCCCAGCAGCCAGGGTCCTGGTTCTGTGAAAGGGTGTCAACACATGCTCAAGAGGATCTCTATAGAGGAAGGCAAACCCTGCCACGATCAGTTCCAGTCTGACCACGGGGTAAAATTCCTTTCTGACCCTAGGGTGACCCTGAGCGGAGGGGTAAGACCCTCTAGCCAGCAACCTCTGGCCTCAGTCCTCGCAGAAGCACCATAGTCCCAGTCCCCTGCCAACAGCACCCAATGCCTATGAGGGAGGCTTAAAAACACCCTGACACCTATGCAACCAGCAAAGCCTAGAAGCATGTGCAATACCTATAAAAATTTACCGGAACAAGTAACAAATATGCGGGGGGCTGAGAGAGAGACAGAGACAGAGAGATATGCAGGTATGTGACAGTGGTAACTCAGTTTCCCCAACAGTACATCAGTTAACAGGAGGGTATAAACTAGTCTGATTTATTCATACCCACAGGCATCAGAACAGCAAAGCATACTACAACCTGCCAAACCCAGCATAGACACCAGTTCACACTAGTAGCCTTTCTGACAGTGTAATTTTAATCCATAACTCCAAATAGTTTCTAAAATACCCTCCTGGGTGAGAATCTTCACACACACTTATATCTCCACTGAGATACATATGTTTCTTTTCCTGACTGTTTCTTACATGAATGAAGACTTAACCATTCATATTTTTCCTTGTATTTTTGCCATATCCAGGTAACAAGGGGTGCTGAGAAAGTCAGATATACAGACAACACACACACACACACACACACACACATGATATCTGTATCTCTGACTGTTTCTCAGTGCCCCTTGTTACCTGGAGATAGATAGATGGATAGATGTGTAATTTTTATATATATAAATCAGAAGGACAGATAAGGAAACAGGCACAGAGAAATTAAACCCTCCATGGTCACCCAGCTGTTGTCCAACATTGCACAATGGGTCAATGCCTGACTCCCAGTCAAGTATCCTTTTCACTTCTCCAGTACACCCGAGGGCACTGCCCCTTGTACTTTCTACCAGTACTGGCAAGTGCAAGTCATGCAGGAGTAGGCAACCATTTCCTCACATGCTGATGAGAAAGAGTGGTGGTTCAGACACAGATGCATCAATTCTGAGAGTAAGGAACAGCCATTGCACGTGCTTAGGTGGGGGTACCAGAGAGCTCATTCCCAGTAACACTAAAGAACCAACTGCACGCTCCACACACAACCCTTCTCTTCCACCCATTTTAATTGATTTATTCTGTTGGCTCACTTGGGGCAAATTAAAGAGGCTTCAGGTGTCCCTGGCTCCGCCCCTGTCATTGCTCAACAGTTACTTCCCAGAGCACAGTAAAGCAGAAATAATGAAGCAACCTCTTGTGTTAAGTGCAGCTTTGTTGCTAGCTCAGGCAAGCAAGAGCGGTCTCTGGGGACCATTCTTACCAGTTACAACTAGCAGCATCTTGAAAGCAGGATCCCTAAATTGACACAATGTGTCAACTACCATGAAATACTGAGAGTTTCACAAGAAATAGGAATCCTGTACACATCAACTGGAATGGATTCATTTTCCATTTAAACAAGAGTTCGTGTGTGTATCTGGAGAGGTATTTTTAGATTCCCTTCCAACCTTTTATTGCTTGCTCCTTTCAAGCTTGATGATCACAGTGATTTTACATTTTGATGATAAAGCAATGGAATAACACATATGCTTCAGAAATGAATTATCTGAGCTTTCTTATTTTGCTATTTCTGTTTCTCCAGAGCTGGGTAAGAGTAGGCTTTGAGGGAAGGGGGGGCACTGAGAAATTGAAAGACTGGCTCTAATAAATACTTGGATCCCATATGTAAAAATAAACCACATATATCTTTATTAATGACATTCTATAATCTTTTGCACTTGTTTCAGTATCTGAACCCGTTGTAGTGAGTGCTGTATTAGTAAATAGGGAAAATAATCCCTATTCCATTCATTTTAACAATTTACATTAAAATGTTATGACAATGAGGCTATAATAAGAAACAGGAATGAAGGAGAAAGAAGGATAAGGATAGATAAGCTTGCAATTTACTCAGCTTGATAGATTTGAATTATTTTCTAGTTCCCTTTTCCACTGACATAGCCATCATTATTTAGTGATTTCCAATAAACAGGACAGAGGAGAGTTGAAGAGGGAGCATCATTGAGATAGCACTATTCCAGAGAAGGTTTTCCATGTGATAAAGTCACTCTCTAAATTGTATTATTTTATAAAGCCTACTTAAAGTCTGGCTCTGCACATGTACACTTCAGTAACTACTGATTGTGCCATCACAAAGTAGCAGAAGTGCTGAACATACAAGTAGCAGAAGTAAAAATAAAAAAAGATGTTGGCCCAGTTGTTTAGTACTATGGAAAAAACAAAGACTGGATAAAACACATTACTTTCAATGTTTAAATAAGAGATTAACATAATAGGCATTGTAAAACAGGCCATAATAACAACAAAGAAAGATTATGGCCTCAGAGGACAATATATTTTGATATTTTGCAAAGAAATGAATCTCAGGCTTCAAGAAAAAACAGGGAAAAACTAGTGTGAATGTCATATGTACTACCTGAACATTTCCTTCCCTATACGTCTTCATCTTATCATTTGTAAGTTATAATGACACATTCTAGGAACAAGCAGAGAATTGAGAAAAAACAGAAGTGTATTTTTAAAGAATATTGCTGATAAAGGTATTTTCATTAAATTAGCTACCTTTGGCTCCAAGTCATGGAAGCATTCCTCTTCAGAAAGGACACTTAAATGAGTGCTTAACTTTCTGTACAAATTTAATTCCTAATTAAATCAATTGGACTTCAGCACATGCTTCGGTACTTTCTCGAATAAGGAAGGGTTTAAAAGCTTGCTTAATACTTTCCTGACCTAGGACCTCTGTGTGGAACTATCGTCTAACAACTGGAGAAAGAGACAGGCTGCGTGTTTCAGATTCTCCTCCCAGCTCTGAGACTGGCTTATTTTATGACCTTGTACAAATCACTTAGCTTGTGTGTCTCAGTTTACACATTTCTAAGATGTTTATAATACTTATCTATTTACAATAGTGCTACCAGGCTTAATTTACGTAAGTGCTTACCTTGATTGGAGTTACTCTATTTTTACTCTATAGGCCAGGAAAGCATTAATACTTTTATTACAAAAGTGTTTTAACTAATTTTAATATAGGAAACTACAGAATTTAAATAAGTTTAACTGCTCTATATGATCAGTGTTCTTAGAGAAGGCAGGGTAGATTTTTATTTTACAGACTAGGTCAGAGATGAATAGTTTATGCCTGACACTTTTGTGAGCCCAAGTTCACTTCAACAGATGCTGTGAAAGAACATGCACAGAGCAGCGTATCAAATGGAGAGAGTGAATTGCATACAAAACACAGGGAAGAAAGG